TTCCCTAATCAAATAAGTTTAGAACAACCATGAATTACAGTCATGCAACACATAACTACATGTCAGTCAATTCTGTAAGAAACAAAATTGCAAAACCAAACTGTATATATTAAGGCGATCCCATAATATTATAAGGGAGCTGAAAAATTCCTATTGCCTAGCATTTACTATAATATGTTCTTTGTTATTATTTTAGAATATACATTTTCTACCTATTAAAAAAAATTTAACTGTAAAATAGCCCCTCGTTCCAAAACGAGGCATTGTTATCTAGGAAATGTTGGCTGTACGCCTATTATTCTCCCTGAAGACCTTCCAGTGGGACAAGATGTGGAGGTGGAAGACAGTGATATTGATGATCCTGATCCTGTGTAGGCCTAGGCTAATAGTACATTGGTGTCTTAGAGTTAAAAAAAATTTTTTTAAGTAAAACATAAATAAATAATAGGAAAAAAATCTTATAGAATAAGAATAGAAAGAAAAATGATTTTGTGTAGCTGTACAATGTGTTTAGGATTTTAAGCTAAGTGTTATTACAAAAGAATCAAAACATTTTTGTTTTTGTTTCCATTTTTAATGTAATTTTATTAATGTTTTTATTGAATAACTTTGAGGATACAAGGAATTTTTGGTTCCATGCATGAATGATATAGTGGTAAAGTTTATAAACTTTAAAAAAGTTACAGTCAGCTAAGATTAATTTGTTATAGAACAAAAAATTTATTTTACAAATTTAATGTAGTCAAAGTGTATAGTGTTTATAAAGTCTATAGTAGTATACAGTAATGTCCTAGGCCTTCACATTCACTCATCACTCACTCACTGACTCACCTACAGCAACTTCCAGACCCACAAACCCAATTCATGATAAATGCCTGATACAGGTATAGCATTTTTTATCTTTTATACCTTATTTTTCCATATCTTTTCTGTGTTCAAATACACAAAGTTGTACCATTGTGTTACAATAACCTACAATATTCAGTATAGTAACATGCTTACAAAAAGTGTATTTTTTCAATTTTATTTCTCAAAATTAGATGATATGTCTTGGGGATTAGCTCAGCTTCGTGAATCTATGGGTTTATGTCTTTTGCCAAATTTGGGAAAATTTTAGCCATGATTTCTTTGAACACTTTTAAAGTCCTACCATCTTTCTCCTCTATTTTTGAAATCGAATGATGAATATTAAATTATTTTTATAGTCTAACTTGTCCCTTAGTTTCTATTATTTAATTTTACTCCACTTTCTGTTTTGTTCAGATTGAATAATTTCTATCATTCTATCTCCAAGTTCATTGATCCATTCCTTTTGTTCTTTTCATTCTGCTGAGACCATCCAGAGAGTTTTATTTTGTTTATTTCTATATCAATTCTGAAGTTTCCATTTGTTTCTTCATTGTTTCTTTTATTTCTTTACCAAGACTTTTCAATTTGTAACTTTTTTCCAAATATGTTTGTAATTCCTCATTGAAGCAATTTTATGACGGCTACTTTAAAATTCTTGTGAATAATTTCAACATCTGTAACATCTCAGTGTTGGTGTTTGGTTGTTTTTCTTCTTCAGGTTTAGATTTTTGATAGTTCTTGATATGAGTGATTTTCAGTTGTATCCTGGTTATTTGGCCAATTATGTTATGAGACTTTGGATCTTTTTTTTTTTTTTGAGTTGGAGTCTCACTCTGTTGCCCAGACTGGAGTGCAG